AGTTTAAAAGAGGGCAGGCAAGGGAAAAAAGGGGCCTCTTCTGCCAGGTACTCATTTCACTAAAAAATTTGTAATGCCTGTAATTTTATGGGATATTTTAAAAAGGGGAAAAAAATTTAAAGAACTTGACAGAATTTTTCAGATGTTAGCCCAAACTTTAAGTAAAGGATTTTCATACCCAAAATTTAAAAGTTTTTATCAAGGGAACAAGGGAAAGCACCAACATTATGTGCAGGGTTGTATGTGATTCTTATAATAATTGGGGGACAATAAAAGAAAGGTTTTAAAAACCCCGAAACCCAAAAGGGACTGATGTTTAAAAGGGTTTAAGCTAATGGCAATAAAGATGGCCTAGCGGGTAGCCTTCCGGTGTTGGGTGTAAAAATTCGGATAAAAGGGGATAAATCCAAACCATTTGCTTTACTCTCCTCAAAACTGGGCCCGGGAAAGTAATTAAAATGGGAGACAAACCCCCCTAGTAATAAGGCAAAAGGGAAATGTGAATACGGTCACGGTGTCTTCCCATGAAAAAGGAAACCCAAATAAAAAGTTTCCCTATCCCAGAATGATGTTTAACCAGTTTTAATTTTTGGGGGGCTGGACAGCATAGGGATTATGTAAAAGAGGAAAGTCCAAATGATTCCTTTTCTCAGGAACAAAACCTGAAAAGGTGTTAAAGTGAATCTGGACCATTTCTGGGGGCGACTAGGGGAAGTTGCCCTCCAGAAAAAACCTACAATTATAGGATGGCGTTTTGGCATTAAGGGCCCAGCTCGGGGAAATGAGGGAAGGGCACCAAAAATTTTTGACTGCTTATAATGAAAATTATAAACATTAAATAATAAATTGTTCTTACTTTAGGCGACGATAAATTTCACACCTTTAAATGCACGGTGGTCCACTGGCGAAGAAAATTTGGGGAAAATCTTAAAGTGGAACAATTTTTCCCGGGGGTGAAGTCAACTGTTGGGACTGGGCTTGGGATTACTGAGAGAGACCCTTTTTAGTTTAAAGTCTCAAAAAATTCCCGTAAAGCCCCAAAAAAAATTTAAACCAGGGAAACATAGGCTTTTGCCCTGAGGAATGGAACATAATTAGTCCATTTTTAGGGATCGTAAATAAGATGGCCAAGGAGTTGGTGCCTGTATGCAGTAATGTGCTGGGGTGACTTTGGGGTACTGAGAGAGATTGTTTTTGTTAAAGTCCCTTAAAACCAGTATGCCCCCCTAAATTAAAACCAAAAGGAGATAGGCTTATGCCCCTGAGAGAATGGAAAAATAATTAGTCCATTTTGAGGGGTTTAATAAAAAAGGGGGGGCCCCTTGGGAAAATGGGAAAAATTGGGAAAACCCCCAATTTTGTAAGTCGTCTAGCAAAGACCTCCGCCCGGCCCCGTGTGGGGAAAATTTTTTTAATTTTTTCCCAAAATATAGTGCCTAATAGGTGGGTTTAAAAAAGTGTCTATATGGGGGGCAAAAAAAAATATTTGAAAAAAAAGAGTAGAACCAAGAGTTCCCTTTTCGCCCTGCCGGATTGGGGGGGGGGGTTGAGGGGATTGTTTTTTTAATGTGGTGAGGAAACTGGAAAACTGGAACCCCGAAAATTTGGGATTCACGGCGGCCTAAGGATTAATATAGGGCCCATTTCAAAAATAAAAAAGTGTCGTAAATGTTTTTTTGGTGGGGGAGGAGGGAAAGTGAATTTAAAGGGGGCCACGGGTTTAAAAGGGGTAAAATTTTGGATAAGAGTAGGAAACCCGGGGCAGGGGCAAAGGGCCCGGGGGTTTTGCCCGGGGGACCCGGGGTTTTTCCTCGCTCATCGGCCTCAGATCTTTAAAGGAGTGACCCTTTAAATTTTTATAAAAGTTTTGAGAAAGTTAAATCGTCTTGGGGAAAGGGAAGGGAATCAGTGTTTAAAAACATGAGTTAAGGGGAAAGCGGGATGTGAAAAAAAAGCGTTTTCTCCCAGTGAACTGTGACTCCCCGTACCGGGGGGTAAGGGATTTATGGAATCACACTTCTAAACCGGGGCAAAAACCCACGGGTCCCCGTCCGGCCCCGGGAAAGAGAAAACCCTGTGGTTTTAGCAGGACATCGAAACTGAGAAGGGAATGGAAGGGAAAAAAGGAGTATCAATCACCCCCAGTTAAGTAAAACCCCTTTTATTATAAAAAACATATGCGGGCCCGTTGTGTTATGGGTTTTAATTAATAGGGTTTTGGTTTATCCAAATACATCAAGTGGGCCACCAAAAAACAACTGGAAAGGGGGTGGGGAAAAAGTTAAATGTTTCCCCTTTATGGATGGGATCCCGGTGGGATCCCCCCCCTCCCCTTCTTCAGCTAAAATAATATAATCTATACAGTCCCCCAAATTTAAACAGTGCACCGTACTTGGGTGCTACCCAATCCATATGGGGCTCGGATAGATTGGATAAGATTGTGAGGTCAGGGGACCACTTGGTGCGACCAGGGGGGATACGTAAAAAAATATTTATTTTCTCCCAAAAGAAAATTTTTTGGGATGTATATAATGTTGGGGGGTACATCCCGGTAAACACCCCAGAAAATTTTCCATATTTAAATTTGATATTGGCTTTAGTTTTTACATCTGTAGGGTCACCACCTTTTTGTTTGGTGTAACCCTTGCTGCTTTAGTAGTGTCGGGAAAGTGCTAGTTTTTAGGGACTTGTTAAAAATAATTTTTAAAAAGTTAAAAAAAGCGAAAGGACATGGGCCCCTCGCTTTTTACAAAAATGGTGGGACGTGAGACAGATTCCCCCAGTTATTTTTGAGTGACTTTATGATCGCGGTGACTTCCGTGGGCTCAGTTGGTACAAGTTTAGAAGGTTTTTGGGGAAAAATTCCCATCTAGATAGTCCCGCCCGGGCATTGGTACCTGGGTTTTTACTGGCGAGATTAGATCCTGTGTTTGTATCAGTGGGATGCAGTGGTGTTTCGTGAGGTTTAGTTAGGACAATAATTTTTGTTTTTTTTTCAGTTTGTGGGTCCCCAGAACTGGGAGTGTTTTTCAGGTCTTTTTTATATCTCCTCTTATTTTCAGTGAATCTGCTGGAGTAGTACAGTTGTTTGGCTTTCTTTATTACTTTGGTGAGAACTGATGAATGTGTTTAAGATATCTTTGTGTATTAAGGCCCCCGTCTATATTGCTTTTCATGTTGGTGGGTTTTTTATCAATGGATTCAGAATGGTGCTGGTTAGCCATGGGCAACCAAGCCGTTTATTCGTGATCTGTTTCGTTTTTATGGGACAATGTTTGTTGTATAGTCTAAGTATTTTGTTAAGAAAAATGTCTGTCCAGTCGTCAATACCATTGGCATTGGAGAATTCTGTAGGCCAGTCAACATCTCTAGGTCTGCTGTGAAATTCAAATTCAATTCAAATTCAAAGTTTATTCTCTATAAGGATTACAATGCTGAGTTTACAGAAATTTGGTTATTGTTTGGTTTACGTGTAGTAAAATTGTGATTACAGAGTGTACCACTAGAACGCTTAGCATGGCTAGGCATTTCGGGCATACTTAGTTTTATTCTTAATTGTAAAATATTACAAATTATGAGGTAAGTTGGTATTATGGCTAAGTGACTAAATACTAGTTTATGAGTTTAGCAATGTGAATGCTTTTGTTTTGGCACAGTATATTGAGGCCTCGTCATGGAACCTAAATCAAACTTTGTTGTATTCGAGTGGTGGCTTACTAATGTTTGTTAAGAGGAAGGATGGGTAGTGGTTTGTAGTGCTGTCTGTGATCATCCCTGATTTAAGGGGGGCTAGTATATTGGTCCATATGTGGTCTATTATAATTGCACTTGTCTCAGTCAGCCTGGTTGGTTTAGTTATTGTTGGTATGAGAAGTGTGTTGTTGATATTGTTGATGAAATCAGTTACAGCCTGATCATCATCATGTACCTCAAAACTCCAGCCCGTCGCGTTAGCCACTAGACCAGCTAGCCACAATAAGATTCATCCAACTAGGTATATTTCTACACCATAGGAAAGTTAGCACAGGCACCTCTGTGACCACAAATGCAAGTTTTTACAGACGAATCTCCAGCTAACTTTCCTATGGTGTAGAAATATACCTAGTTGGATGAATCTTATTGTGGCTAGCTGGTCTAGTGGCTAACGCGACGGGCTGGAGTTTTGAGACTCTATGACCGCGGGTTCAATCCCGGCCGGGGGTATGGATCATCATGTACAATTGATCCCATCACACATTCGATTACTCCTTCATAATAAAGTTGATATGTTAGCCAAGAATGTGTACCTAGAAGGAGAATGTAGAATATAACTTTGGTATATCTGTGTCTAGCATTAGGAATAATATTAGGAGAGAAGTAAATAATGAAAATGATTGTTATAGGGATGCAGTTAGAAGTCTGAGTAGATCTATAACCCACTATTATAACATGAACGTATATAAGTATGTTTATGGAGCAACTTGCAATGTGAACAGACTGACTGATATAGTGGCCAGGCTTAGGCTTGGTTACAATTACTTCTGGCAGTTTGGCAGACACACAGATGATGATCAAACTAAATGCAAATTATGTGGTCTGGCATATGGTCACTGTCTTGAACACTATGTGCTTAATTGTCCACTTATTGAGGAATGCAGAGACAGACAGTATAATAACCTATGTGACTAAATTTACTCATTGTAATATTGTTATATGTTTTGTACTACCTCATTATAATTAATCTAATTATTCAGTTTAGTTACCTAACTTTTATATCAGTATGCAATAAGGTACATTAAAATGTACTGCTCCATAACCTGTGTCAGTATAGAGTAAGAATTATGATTAGTCTGCCCGAAATTCCTAGGCATGCTAGAGGCCTTCTTTGTAATTAATATTTTGTAATATGTAAGCCACACATTGTAAGCTTTGAAAGGAAATAAACATTTACATTTTCATTTTCATATTCGTACTATCGAGAAGTTGGGCTCAGTGCGGCTTATACTGTCAGTTGCCCTGACAAACCCAACTAAGAAAGAAAGAATACGGCAACAGTTGTGGTGACCCTATAAACCCCCAACAACAAGTAGACTATAATAAGAGGCTTCTCTAAGTGTTCCCGATTTTTTCGTCTTAATTTGGTAAATTTTTTCTCCTCAAACTCCGACAGGTAAGGCGATATAACGACGTAAACTTTTGTTGTTTTGAGTCACCCAACAACAAATGAAATCAACTGTTAATAACGGACACTGACAAGAGAACCATGCACTTAGTGTGCAAGGTCAGCTAGTAAGTAAGTAAGTTTATTCAGGTATACACAAATACAGATACATAGAATTATCATACATAGCAGCATATGTGTAGAGAACCTAGGATAACCCAAAAAAGTCAGACAGAGCTCTATTATAAAGTTTCTATATAGTGAAATTTTCATAAATGCGATTAAAAAATACATCCATAATTGAATAGCACAAAGCCAGGCCTTCATAGTACGTGTTATTCAATTTTCGATATACTTTCTAAATCACATTTACAAAAATGCCCTATGTAAAGGAGGTTTATAAATGATTTTGAGGAATTTTAATGCAACCTTTGTCCTCAGAACATCTACTTCTTTCTCCTTCACAATTTTCATAACCTTGTATTTGATGGGGTTGAATTCTTGAAGTCACTTATTTGATCAGTCATGTAGTTTATCCAGGTCCATTAAATTCAATTCAATTCAATTCAATTCAAATTCAAAGTTTATTCTCTATAAGGATTACAATGCTGAGTTTACAGAATTTGGTTATTGTGTGGTTTACATGTAGTAAAATAATAATTACAGAGTGTACCACTAGAACACCTAGCATGGCTAGGCATTTCGGGCAGACTTAGTTTAATTCTTAATTTTAAAATATTACAAATTATGAGGTAAGTTGGTATTATGGCTAAGTGACTAAATATTAGTTTGTGAGTTTAGCAATGCGAATGCTTTTGTTTTGGCACAGTACATAGTTTCAGTATTGGAGTATCACAGGATTCATTATTTTAAGATTGAGATTAATATTTCTGTTTATGGTCAAATGGGTGGGTGAGTGAGTGTAAGTGTGAACCACCAGGTGGTATTCGTGTAGTTAGTTGATGGGGTTTATCAGGGAGATAAGATGTTTTCTAATGGTAGTTTTGAAGGTGATGAATGTGTCTGCAGTTCTAGAGTTCTCAGGTAGGGTGTTCCAGATTTTAGGGCCTTTGACATACATTGAATTTTTGTAAAGGTTTAGTCGGACCCGGGGAATGTCATAGAGATGTTTGTGTCTGGTGTTATGCCTGTGGGTTCTGTCACAACTATCAAGAAAGCATTTTAGGTCAAGGTTGATGTTGGAGTTTAAGGTCCTGTAGATGTAGATTGCACAGTAGTAAGTGTGGATGTACTGAACAGGGAGTAAGTTTAGATCTATGAAGAGTGGGGGGGGGGGCTGTTGCCAGGGATGGGATTTAGTGATTATTCTTACTGCGGCTTTTTGTTGGGTTATTATTGGCTTTAGGTGTGTTGCTGCAGTTGATCCCCAAGCACAAATAGCATAGGTGAGGTATGGATAAATAAGTGAGTGGTATAGTGTGAGTAGGGCATTTTGCGGCACGTAGTAATCGTATCTTGGAAAGGATCCCAACCGTTTTGGATGCTTTTTTGGTTATGTGTTGGATATGGGTGCTGAAATTCAGGTTGTTGTAAAGGTATAGGCCAAGGAATTTGCCCTCATTATGTCTGGTAATTAGAGTGTTGTCGATTTAATGTTAATTTGTGCATCCCCTGCTCTGCTCCCAAACATAATATACAGTGGACCCCGCTACCGTTGGCATCACATAACGTTAAATCTGCATCCCGATACATTTTATCCTAAGATTTTGCCTCGCATACGCTAAAACCCGCTAAACCTATTCGTCCGAGACGCATCTAATGTGCGGCCTGAGCCAGCCTAAACATTTTTCCGCAGGTGGCATTGTTTACAAGCCAGTTCCGCGGTAACATCCAAGCATACAATCGTAACTTTTTCATTATTATTACAGTGTTTTTGGTGATTTTATCTGCAAAATAAGTGACCATGGGCCCCAAGAAAGCTTCTAGTGCCACCCTATGGTAAAAAAGGGTGAGAAATATTATCGAAATTTCTGTGGTACCATGGCCAACTGCTGGATGCTGCTGCTGCTGTAGCACTGTCAGCTGCTGCTTTCTGCTGTACCACCTTCAGCTGCTGCTGCTGCTGCTGCTGTGTACATCTGCTGCTGCGTAGCATCGTCTGCTGCTGCTGTAGCACTTCAGTGCTGGGTCTGCTGCTGTACACTGTCAGCTGCTGCTTGCTGCTGTAGCACCATCAGCTGCTGCTGCTGCTGCTGCTGTACCACTGTCAGCTGCTGCTGCTGCTGTAGTACCGTCTGCTGCTGCTGCTGCTGTAGTACCGTCTGCTGCTGCTGTAGCATCGTCTGCTGCTGCTGTAGCATCGTCTGCTGCTGCTGTAGCACTGTTGTTGGTGTGGCTTATTGAGAATACCAAGAAATAATTAACCCCAGAGGGTTAACCACCCAGGATAACCCAAAAAAGTCAGTGTCATCGAAGACTGTCTAACTTATTTCCATTGGGGTCCTTAATCTTGTCTCCCAGGATGCAACCCACACCAGTCGACTAACCCAGGTGAACAGGGAAAAACGCCTGGAACTAGTGCTCATATTGGTGAATTTAAAGCCAGCAAAGGTTGGTTTGAGAGATTTAAGAATCGTAGTGGCATACACAGTGTGATAAGGCCTGTTCTGGAAGAAAATGCCAAACAGGACCTACAGTACTCAGGAGGAAAAGGCACTCCCAGGACACAGTGTCTCATGTCATTGCTGCATCTTCAATAAAGGTAAGTGTCATTTATTCTTCATTTAGTAGAGTAGTACATGCACAATATATATTGTGCATGTACTACTCTACTATTGTGCATGTATCCTTCTCTTTGTGTGTAGGAAAATGTATATTTCATGTGGTAAAATTTTTTTTTTCATACTTTTGGGTGTCTTGCATGGATTAATTTGATTTCCATTATTTCTTATGGGGAAAATTCATTCGCATAACATAATTTCGCATAACAATGAGCTCTCATGAACGGATTAATATCGTTATGCGGGGGTCCACTGTAGTAGGTTTTGTCAGTGTTAAGCGTAAGTTTATTGGCTGTCATCCAAGTCGATATTTTGATCAGCTCCTCGTTAACAATGGTGTTGAGGGTGGCAAGATTAGGGTGAGAAATGACATAAGTCGTGTCGTCAGCGGAACTCCAGTATCAAGTGGCCGTGTTGTTGATGCTGTGTCTTTAATGGTGACATACTGATACCTATTAGTAAGGTAAGATTTGAAATAAGCAAGCGCATGGCCTCTTATACCGTAGTGGTCAAGTTTGTGGAGTAGGATGCCATGGTCTACTGTGTCAAAAGCTTTTCTTAGGTCAATAAAAATTCCTAGTGGATATTCCTTATTTTCCAATGCTGTGTAAAGCAGATCTAGCATTTTTATGATTGCATCATTAGTGCTTTTATTTTTCCTGAATCCAAATTGGCAGGGGTTGAGTATGTTTTGTGCCGTTATAAATGAATATAGTCTCCTGTGCACGAGTTTCTCAAAGATTTTGGATAGCAAAAGTAAGTTTGATATTGGCCTATAGTTGTTTAAGTCTGTAGGGTCACCACCTTTATGTATTGGTGTAACCCTTGCCATCTTGAGTAGTTTCGGGAAGGTGCTAGTTTCTAGTGACTTGTTATAAAAGTAATGAAATAGCATGTGAAAGGACATTGGCCACTCGCTTGTACAGTAATGGTGGAACATGAGACAGATTCCCTGAGTTATTTTTAAGTGACTTTATAATCTCGGTGACTTCCATGGGCTCAGTTGGTACAAGATAGAAGGAATTTGGAAAATTCCCATCTAGGTAGTCCCCGGCATGGGCATTGGTATGTGGGATTTTATTGGCGAGATTAGATCCTATGGTTGAGAAGAAGTCGTTTATCTTGTTAGCTGTGTCACTGGGATGTAGTGGTGTTTCATTAGGTTTAGTTAGGACAATATTCTTGGTTTTTTTTCAGTTGTGTGGTCCCTAGAATCTGAGAGTGTTTTCCAGGTCCTTTTTTATATCTCCTCTAGTGTCTGTGAATCTACTGGAGTAGTATAGTTGTTTGGCTTTCTTTATTACTTTGGTGAGAACTGATGAATAGTGTTTAAGAATATCTTTGTGTATTAAGCCCTGTCTATATTGCTTTTCATATTGGTGTTTCTTGTCATGGATTTCAGAATGGTGCTGATTAGCCATGGGCAACCAAGCCGTTTGTTTGTGATCTGTTTCGTTTTTATAGGACAATGTTTGTTGTATAGTCTAAGTAATTTGTTAAGAAAAATATCTCTCCAGTCATCAATACCATTGGCCTTGGAGAATTCTGTAGGCCAGTCAACAGTCTCTAGGTCAGCTGTGAACTTCCTTATTGAGGCCTCGTCATGGAGTCTAAATGAGACTTTGTTGTATTCAAGTGGTGGTTTACTAATGTTTGTCAGGAGGAAGGTAGGGTAGTGGTCTGTAGTGCTATCTGTGATTATCCCTGATTTAAGGGGGGCTAGTATATTGGTCCATATGTGGTCTTTTATGGTTGCACTTGTCTCAGTGAGCTGGTTTGGTTTAGTTATTGTTGGTATGAGAAGTGTGTTGTTCATATTGTTGATGAAATCAGTTACAGGCTGATCATCTAGTATGCCAAGGTTGATGTTGAAGTCTCCAGCTAAGAGAAGGTGGTGCTTATTCATTTGTCTGTTTGTTATTAGTGACTTTAATTTCTCACTGAAATTTGGGATGTTTTGTTTAGGTATCCGGTAAATGGCACCGATTGTTATAGGTGTCTTAAGGTTTTTTACAGTAAAATTAGCAAAAATGTATTCCCCATATTCATCACTAAAGCAAGTGGTGCTAATACAAGATAATTGGTTTGAGTAATAGATTGCAGTACCACCCCCAACTTGGTTTGGTCTGCAGTTGTGAATTGCTGTGTATCCTGGTAGAGGGTAGATATCTATTGTGTCCTGCTTAAGCCAGGTCTCAGTAAGAATAATGCAGTAGGGTGTCTTTAGTGATTCAAGGAGTGCCAGGAGGTCATCATAGTGTTTGCTTA